ATATTTGACTCATATAATTAATCCAAATATAATAGCCCAAAATAATTATTTAGATTAATATATTAAAATATAGTCCATGTTATTTTATCGATTTAAATTCAATTCAATAAAATTTAAACGCAAACAAGTGCCCCTACTTCAATACTTGTCACGTTATTTTACTTTTGAGGAGTAGGTTTGAAGTAATGGTAAGAAAACACTTCTTCCGTTTTTCAGAAATTAAGGATTAGTCCCCAGGACCATGAAAATGTTTGTGATTGGCTTATTAAATAATGATCTTCATGGATTGGAGTATTGAATGCTACATGTGATTCACCTAAGATAATGATGACGTGTATGCCTTTTTTCCTTCTTACTACACGTTAAAGTGTAAGATAACTTTATAGCACTTTTCAAAAAGAAAAATCTCATTACAATTATTACTGAAGTCACAGCACACAATTTCTTCATCATAGTACACGTAGGAATTGGAGACATTCCCTTAATTTGTTGTTCCCTATTAAATTGGATGCCGTGTTTTTCGTATAGACTTGGAGCTAATCGTTCCTGTTTGAATCCCTTTTGAAGTCTAACAGTCATCCAAGTCCATGTTGGATTCAAATTGTTGCCGCCGCCTAGCACTTGTTCCCACGCCGAAAAGTAACTTCCTAATAGCCACCTCGAGACATCTATATATAGCTCATGCATGGCCTTTGTCAACATCACTTCATAGTATTTGCTTGTCACTTTAATTCGTAGTTGACAGGTAAGACTTCTTTCTTCTTCTAGGTTTTCGTCGTCTTCTTTTTTTCCCCTTTTTTTGGGCGAAGAAAATAAAAGTCGTCGAGTGCTGTGTTGACGAATAATTTTATAACGTCCCGTAAAAGGATAAATCCATGATGGCATATAAATGATCAAATCGACAACAACATATAGAAATCCCTCACAACATATAGAAGGACAGATACATCACAATACATAGACGACAATTCTGCATCGCCATATTGATGGATAAATCCACATCACCATATAGACGGAAAAATCAACATCACAATATAGACGGACAAATTTACATCACAATATAGGAAGATCAACTTGCAACAAGACTGGCTTAAAGTGCAAAGAAACTTAACTTTCTTATTTTTAGCGTAGAAAATTACAGATCTTGTTAAGGGCAACCACGCGAAGAGGCCAACTTAAAGTGCAAAGGGACTTAAACGTCCACCTTATGATTGAAAAATTTATAGTTCCTTTTAAGGACAAATCCGCCAAAGGGGCCAACTTAAGGTGAAAAGGCACTTAAATGTCCACCTTACGATTGGAAAATTAAAAGGCTTCAACCCGAAGTCTTAGTGGACTTGCCGGCTTCGACTTGAAACACTTGGCAAACTTCGATGCTTTATCTCGAAGAAAGCTGAGCTATTAAACTTCAACTTGAAAATTAGCAGACTTGAAAACATCAACTTGAAGACATAGAAGGCTTGAATACTTCAACTTGAATACCAGTGAATATGAAGGCCGAAAGACTTGATCCTTCAATTCGAAGACTTCAGTTCGATGACTTATAGGGCTTAAATACTTCAACTTGAAGACCGACAAATGCTTGAATACTTCAACTTGAATACCAGTGAATATGAAGGCCGAAAGACTTGATCCTTCAATTCGAAGACTTCAGTTCGATGACTTATAGGGCTTAAATACTTCAACTTGAAGACCGACAAATGCTTGAATACTTCAACTTAAAGACATGAGGACTTGCAATCTTCAACATGAAAAACTGAGACTTCAACTCGAAGACTTAGAGGGCTTAAACATTTCAAGTAGAATACCGGCGAGCTTGAAAACCGGCAGACTTAAAGTCTTGATAGACTTAGAATACTTCAAACTGAAGGCGTAGCAGCCAAGATGAATTCAACTTAACTTGGCATTAAAGACATCAACTTAAAGATTTGACCTTTTACTAAAAGACTACACCCATCCATTAGAGATGCCAATTTTCTACAGAGGCTTACCCCCATTGAACCATCAATCTTTGATAAGGTAGAAAGTTTAATGAAAGAATACACGTAAGCCGATCATTTTTTTAAGTCCCAATCAAGTGGATTATATTCCATCATGCTTCATTCGAACAATGATTGAGGCAATATATATCTTTGGAACTCATGCGACTAAATTTAGAATGAAACTCTAAGTTGCCTACGTACCTCGATGAAGAAGATCAAGTCATACCGTATTTCAGAATGGGTAATTTTTTTTGTGTCTTAACTTTTGCCTAGGCTGCCTCATTTGAGGTTTTCATCCTACCGGACATTTATTGTTTTGATTTGTACATAGTTTATACTCTTGCGGGCAACGAGTAACATGCAATTTATGTTCTTGTGTTAGGGAGCATAGCAGCATACAGTTTAGGATCGTGCATTCAGGAGCGTAGTAATTTGAAGATTTAACACAAATTTTAAGAGCTTCGTGACTTGAAGATTTAGCTGAATGTTGAAGAGCTTTGCAACTTGAACTTTGGCTCGAATTTAAAAAGCTTTGCAACTTGAAGCCTTTGCTCTACTTTGAAGAGATTTTGACTTGAGCCTTTGATCAAATTTGAAGAGGTTTGCGACTTGAACACCTTGCTCGAAATTAATAGCATTACAACTTGAAGATTTTATTTTAATTTTGAGAGCTTTACGTCTTAAAGATTTAGTTCAAATTTGGGGAGTTTCGTGAAATATAATTTAGGCTCATGTGCTAAGAAGCCTTATAACTTGTAGTCTAGGCTCGTGTGTTGAGGAGCATTATAACTTGCAGTTTAGGCTCATGCATTGAGGAGCATTATAAGTTGCAGTTTAAGTGCGTCGAGGGGTATTGCAACATGCAGTTTAGGCTTGTGTATTGAGGAGCATTACAACTTGCAATTTAGGCTCGTGCGCCAAAGAGCGTTGTGACTTGCAGTTTAGGCTCATACGTCGAGGAGCATGAAGATATGCATAGAATTTTCGGTTTTATTCTCAGATTAAAACTTGTGCCCATCATCGCCTTCTTTTTCTTCTTCTTCATCGTAAGGCTCAAGTACATGTAGCTCTTAGTCTCCACTTGTGGCCATACTTAGTTCCATATCATGAGCACGAGTTGCTAATTCTTCAAATGTATTGAGCTTGATGCCTTGTAAGATATAGCGAAGACCCTAATGCATGCCTTGAATACACTTTTCGATGCTAGAAGTTTTGTTAAAATGATCTTTATAGTTGAGGCTTAAGCCCTTCCAGCGATTGATAAAGTTAATAACTGGCTCATCCTTTCATTGATAAGAGTTTGTAAGTTCGATTGTGCTTACAATGCATCTTGTTCTATAGAAACGATTGAGAAACTCTTACTCCAACTGCTCCCAACTATCGATGGAACCAGATTCAAGATCTGTGTACCAATCGAATGCATTGCATTTGACAGATTGCACAAACTGTTTGACAAGATAATCGCCATACGTTCCAGCATTGTTGCAAATTTCAACAAAGTGTGCTACATGTTGTCTCGGATTTCCCTTGCCATCGAATTGTTGCAACTTAGGAGGTTGATAACAAACATGCATCTTCAAGTTATCGATTCGTTGTGTGTACGACTTTGCATATGTGAGAGATAATTTGGATGACTTAGGCTTATCTTCGATAGCCTCCATGATAAAGTCTTTTAATTTCTCAACGGGAATCAAACCTTCAGCGGAGATTTGAATCTCCTTGGTTGTCGTTGCTTGCTTTTCGAAAGAGTCTTCTTTCTCTTGCGATCTTTGAAAATTTTAAGGTGTTTGTATGGATTTTCCCTCTACTATGATATCCAAGGTCCTTTGAGTTTGATTTTGAATTTAAATTTAATTTATCTGTCGCGGACACTTTGATTGTTGCCACGAATTTAGTCACGAACAAATAGCCTTGATCTTTAACTCCTTGTATTTAAATTGATTTTGTTCTTAATCTTGAATACTTGAAATTTGTGTTGAAGTGCTTGAATGCTTGAACACTTGCAATTTGCAGAAAATTGTGGCCTTTGATCCACGAGCTCCCTTGTGTTTTCTTGTTATAACTTATGATTCCTTTTCTAAGTTATGAACCCCTATTTATAGTTGTGGAAAGAAAGAGTTAGGAGAAGTACAAAATCTTTCCGGCCAATCAAATTGAAGTGTGACATGGTTTTATTTAATTGTTCAGAACATGTCACTGGCACACGTGACACAGTTTCATTGGCCTTTTAATTTGGCTTGGCATGCCTTGTGACTTTGACATGTGGCACGATTATATTGGCTCTTTCATTTGAATTGGCATGCCACATCATTTCGCGAGTGGCACCAAACTAGGCCTCGTGGAAGATGTTATCTCGGGCCTGATGAAGTGAGCTCATCATTTATAGTCCAATTATATTGGACTCACCTATTAATCCAATTATACAAGCCCAAAATATTTATTTAGATTAATATGTTAAAATATAGTCCATGTTATTTTATCGATTTAAATTTGATAAAATTTAAACGCTTCCAGTTGCTTATTACTATATAACTTTAGCAAAATTTATTGAGCAGCTTTTTTACTTGTGCTATGAATTATCAAGAAATTAGCTTGATTAAGCTTACAAATTTTGTTGTGTTAAAATAATTTACTTATTCTCACTTTATGAATTCAAATCTCTTGGTCAATTTTTTTGATATCCACTAGAATTCTAGAAACATGTCAACATAAGCTACAAAATACCATTAATTTATCGCAAGGTTACAAAATACCATTAAGTTACAAAAAGCGAAGAGTATATATGCTGAATTCTCCGCTATAACCATTTTTTGATGTATATCCCAGATGTAACCCACGTTTCTGTTAACTTCCTCATCCATATCCACATTTTTACGCACGTAATCTTTAACCGCTCTCTGTTGTCAGTTCAAACTTCAAAATATCACTTCATAAAGCCTGCAGTTTTCTCAATAAGCACTCTCAAAACCTGTCTAAAAAATCCCAAGAGAGGACAAATCCAACAAGAGAAACCAAACAATGGCACCAAAGAAGAGTAACGAAAGAGTGAGTACCACAGTCACCGCCAAGAAATTGGTCGAAGAAACTCTTCAAGTAGTAGTCACAACACTCACTGGTGAAACTCAAGAGAGAGAAAATAAACAACAAGAACAAGCATAAGAAGAAGAAGAGAAAGGGCAGAAAAAGAAACCAACGAAGATCGAAAAAGAAGGCAAAAGGAAGAAAAAGAAAAGGACTAAAGTAGGTTATGGGAGATATATTTATAAGGTAATGAAGCAAGTGCATCCCGATATGGGAATATCATCAAAAGCTATGACCATATTGGACAATTTGATGGGAGACATGTTTGAGAGAATTGCAGAGGCAGCAGCAACGTTGTCAAAGTACGTAGGGAGGACAACGTTGTCGTCGAGGGAGATTCAGGGTGCTGTGAAGATGGTGTTGCCAGGAGAACTTGGGAAGCATGCCATTGCTGAAGGAACTAAAGCTGTAGTCAGTTATGTTACTGCTGTTGCTGAAAAAAATAAGTCCAAGACTAAGTGAAGTGAACGTAACGTTAATTTGTTGTAGTGCTAATTATAGGTTTCTAAGTAGTGTTTTCTTTTACTTTGAGTTTTTTCTGTTTGTTTTCTTAACTTATTAGTGGTTAGCTTCATGTCGTAGTAGCAGTAGATATTTGGAGTATAGAAATGCAGTTTGCATGTAATCCTTCGATAGTCATGCATGGCAAGTAGTAGCATATCATGAATTTGTACAAGCGCGGTGTCTGTTTATTATCACAATTCGACTTGTATGTCAAATTGTGTTCAGGCTATGTGCCATTACAATATTATGCATTTACAGCTACTAACTTTTAGTTATGAACATCAAATTCAGGCCTATTACCTAATAATGGACACAAAAATTAAAATTTCGTGGCTACTCACACTTTCATAAAATTTCTTAGCTAAAAGAATTAAATAAGCAAAGTTACTTCCTCATTAATTTTTGCTATAGTTGCCAAGTATTATAGCAATAACTGCCGAAATAGCTAGTCAGCAATTCGTTTCTTTGCTAGCATTTCTCTTATATCCCCCGGAATTGATGTGAAGAAAGCCCTGCATTTGAATCATTGATTTTGAACCCTTGTAGGACACATTAGCACCAGCTAAAAACGTCGTATATTCTTATGGCATACAAACATTTTGTTTAAAACTATTCTCTCAAATGTCGGTTCATTTTAAAACAAATACCAGGGAGGTCAAAAAAATCCCTGTGTATACGGCAAATCGGAGAGTTCAATTTTATCGAATGTTATGATGCCTCGTAAGCATATTTCACAAGGTTCGAGACTAGGGTTGAGGTTCACCCTCGAAGGATATCGATGCTCGACCTCGGGGCGAAGCAGACCAACGGCTATGCCGGAAAAATGGGGAGTTTCCAAGGCGCACAACTAGGGCTGATAAAGTCTAGTGAGCTAAGTTCAGACCGGAATCATGGTGTCAACTAGCTGTCCCATCCACATATCTTTGTAATTAATGTATTTGTACTATGTTGAGATTCTCCCTCTTATATAAAGGGGATCCTTGTCATTTTGTAAACATCTGTTGCTCTATACTAAAAATACAAGAATATTCTCTCTGCTCTCTAACATAGTCTCTTAATTTATTACTTCATTTATTGCTCGAATTTATTGTGTTCTACTAAAAGTTCATCATTCATTGCTTATTATTGGCCATAAAGAGCCGTCTTTGGTTTACTTATAACTATTAATCACCATCGACCACCTTCGATAGTTCCCAGCCGAGCTTCAGACTCGACCACGTGGCCCTTGAATAGGCAAGCCCGAGGCCCCGATTGTCAGCAATTCGATTTGGTTAACATCTCGTTTTTAAGCTCTTATCTCGTTCCTAAGTCTTTCACATAGCATCAACTGCCTAAGAACTAGCATAAAAATAGATCACGTATTTTTAGAATCACTAAATCAAATTTAATTATTATTACCATTTTCACGGTAAACAGTTTGGCGCCCACCGTGGGGCTAAAAATAATAGTGATTATTTTCTTGCTGGTTTTACTACATGACGAAAGTTATCTTTCACACTTTTTCTTGTCCAAGATCTTTGATTTCAGGTCAAAATGCTTAAACTAGTAAGTGTGCCCGAAAACAACAGCCTCAAAAACTATGGGAAGGGCGGTACAATTACTCCAGGTATGGGTGTGCCACCACGAAACCCTGAGAACACACCGGAGCCGATTCCCAAGGGTACAACCTTGTGCGACGCCCAAGGCATTAACGTTGGTCCTCACATTAAACAGGGAGCGCGCCGAGAAACTCAACGGGAATCTCAGAAACATCTAACCTAGGAAAAAAGAGAGATCCCTCGGCATGTCATTCATATGATTACCGGGTGGATCGACATTCCCCACGGACCTGTGATCAAATGGATAAAAACTTCCACTGCAATCGAGAGGCCGATCCGAGACCGCATGACCGAAGACACCTTTGCATTCAGTGAGGAGGATCTCGAGACCTTGGCAGAACCATACGACGCGCTGGTAATTTCATTCCTTTTAAGCAAAGTTCAAATTAAACGTGTGCTCGTGGATCCAAGCAGCTCGGCCAATGTAATCAGGTCAAAGGTAGTAGAACAACTTGGGTTGCTTGATCAAATCATGCCCGCCTCCCAGGTTCTCCACAACTTCAACATGGATGGTGAAATAAAGAAAAGAGAGATCCTCTTCCTGGTAGACATGTCCGGTGCAGTCCAGAATACCAAGTTCCACGTCATCATTAGTGACATGAGGTACAACGCATTGCTTGGCAGGCCATGGATACACAGCATGAGGGCGGTGCCGTCGACTCTTCACCAGATGATAAAATTTCCAACAACAATGGCATAACAACCATATATAGAGAACAACGTGCGGCAAAAGAAATGTTCGCAGTTTACTAAAAGGCACCAAAACCCATACACTCTACCTCGGATGAGTCTAGGAGCATACAGACCCCTGAGGATGTTGAAGAAGATTTCCTCGCCCCTCGAACTTTCATTTCCCCCGAAGAGTCGGATGCAATGAAATCGACAATTGAACAACTGGAGCAGGCTATTTTGATTGAGTATCTCCCGGATCGAAAGATATACCTAGGAACGGGATTAACACCCGAACTCAGGAAAGAACTCATTCAATTCCTTATTAACAACATCTACTGTTTTGCTTGGTCCCTTTAGATATGGCAGGAATCCCGCCGGAAATAACCAAGAATCTATTGAGTGTAGACCCCAGGTTTAAATCAGTGAAGTAAAAAAGAAGACCCCAGTCCGAAGTAAAACACACATTCATCAAGGACGAGGTAACGAAACTCCTTAAAATATGGTCTATTAGAGAGGTAAAGTATCTCGAATTGCTGGCTAACGTAGTGGTAGTGCCCAAAAAGGGAAATAAGTTAAGAATGTGCGTAGATTATAAAGATTTAAATAAGGCGTTCCCCAAGGATTCTTTCCAATTGCCTAACATCGATCGTCTGATCGGTGCTACGGCCGGCTATGAGACCCTCACCTTTCTCGATGCCTACTCGGGGTATAACAAAATTTAGATGAACACCGAGGATAGGGAAAAGACTTCGTTCATCATGAAGTATGGTACCTACTGTTACAATATAATGCCCTTCGGGCTGAAAAATGCATGGGCTACGTACCAACGTCTAGTTAATAAAATGTTCGAGAATCAAATAGGAAAATCCATGGAAGTTTATATCAATGACATGCTAGTTAAATCCCTGCGCGCAGAGGATCATTTGACTCATTTGCAGAAAACATTCGACATCCTTAGAAGTTAAAACACGAAGCTTAACCCCGAGAAATGTGCCTTCGGAGTGGGTTCGGGCAAATTCTTAGGCTTCATAGTATCGAAAAGGGGGATCGAGATCAACCCTGACAAAATCAAGGCCATCGAAGAAATCACGGTGGTAAATAATGTAAAGGCCGTGCAATGGCTGGCGGGGCGAATAACATCTCTAGGCAGATTCATATCGAGGTCGTCGGACAAGAGTCACCATTTCTTCTCTTTACTGAAAAAGAAAAACAACTTCGAGTGGACCCCAGAATGCCAACATGCCTTAGAGGAACTGAAGAGGTATCTGACTAGTCCGCTTTTGCTCCACACGCCGAAAGAGGATGAAATGTTGTATCCATACCTGGCTGTATCAGAAATAGCTAAGTAGTGTGCTAGTTCGAGAAGAGCAAGGTATGCAATTTCCTATTTATTATGTAAGTCGGACCCTAGGGGATGCCGAAACCAAGTATCCGCACCTAGAAATATTAGCTCTTGCATTAATAAGCGCATCGCGAAAACTGAAACCCTATTTTCAATGCCATCGTATTTGCATTTTAACAACGTACCCTCTCCAAAGAATATTGCATAAGCCCGAACTATCGGGTCTATTGGCCAAATGGGCCATCGTACTCGGGGGGTATGATATCGAATATCAACCACGAACGGCCTTCAAGTCCTAAATTTTGGCAGACTTCATGGCCGACTTCTCACTCTCCTTCATGCCCGAGGTAGAAAAGGAACTCTTGCTAAAATCAGGCACATCTTCTGAGGTATGGACCCTATTCACCAACGGTGCCATAAACGTAAGAGGATCCGGTGGCTCGGTACAGTCCTGAAGCTGCCCACGGGTGGCATAATCAGGCAATCTATAAAAACTGCAAAATTGACTAACAATGAAGCTGGGTATGAGGCTATGATTGCAGGTCTGGAATTGGCCAAAATCCTGGGATCTGAGTCCGTCGAAGCAAAATGCAATTCACTCCTGGTAGTAAACTAGGTAAATGGGAGAAACGAGGTCCGAGAAGACAAGATGCAAAGGTATTTGGACAAAATCCAAATCACATTACGCTGTTTCAAAGAATGGACCCTGGTCCACATAACTCGTGAGCAAAATAGTGAGGCCGATGCCCTCGCAAATCTGGGATCATCTGTTGAAGAAGATGACCAACTCCCCGGGTCTGTTATTTAGCTCTCCAAATCAGTGATCAAAGAAGGTTATGCCGAGATTAATTCTACTAGCCTAACATGGGATTGGAGAAATAAATACATTGACTATCTACAGGATGGAAAATTACCTGCGGACCCAAAGGAATCAAGGGCCCTGCTAACCAAAGTAGCCCGATTCTTACTCGATGAAAACGAGACTCTATACAGAAGAACCTTCGACGGCCCCCTAGCAGTGTGCCTAGGCCAGGGCACACAAACTATGTACTCCGAGAAATCTATGAGGGTACTTGTGGAAATCACTCCGGCACCGATTCCTTAATCTGAAAGGTGATTAGGGCAGGCTACTACTGGGATAACATGGAAAAAGACACTAAGGAATTTGTCCAAAAGTGTGACAAATGCCAGAGATTTGACCCTATGATTCACCAACCCGGCGAACAACTGCATTCGGTCTTATCGCCATAGCCATTCATGAAACGAGGAATGGACATCATCGGACCCCTACCTACGGCGCCAAGTAAAGCTAAATTTATTTTATTTATGACTGACTATTTCTCAAAATGGGTGGAAGCGTAGGTCTTCGAGAAGATAAGAGAAAAAGAAGTCATTAACTTCATCTGGGATCATATCATGTGCCGATTCGAGATTCCTTCCGAGATAACATGTGATAATGGGAGGTAGTTCATCGGAAGCAAAGTAACATAGTTCATTGAGGATCACAAAATCAAGAGAATCCTGTCAATGCCTTACCACCCGTGTGCGAACGGCCAGGTCGAGTCCACAAACAAAACCATCATCCAAAACTTAAAAAAGAAGATGGAAACCACTAAAGGAAAATGGAGAGAAATATTACCCGAAGTGCTGTGGGCATATCGAACAACTTCAAAGTCAAGCACAAGGGAAACACCTTTCTCTCTAGTATATGGCACCGAGGCCCTGATACCAGTGGAGGTCGGGGAGCCAAGTGCCAGATTCCGACACACCACCAAGAGCTCGAACAATGAGGCCATGACTATGGCTCTCGAACTATTAGATAAAAAGCGAGATACCTCGCTGGTCCGAATGGCGGCCCAAAAGGAATGGATCGAAAGGTATTATAACAGGAGAACAAACCTCTAATATCTCGGAGTCGGGGACTTGGTCCTAAGGAAAGTCACCCTCAACACCCGAAACCCTAATGAAGGAAAGCTAGGCCAAAATTGGGAAGGACCGTACCGCATCCTCGGAGTAATCAACAAAGGGTCCTACAAGCTCGGTACCATGGAAGGCGAACAACGTCTAAGCAATTGGAACATATCAATGCTTAAACGATACTACTGCTATGGCATGCATTGCACTCTTTTCCTTCGACCGAATTTTATCCCAAAAAGGGATTTACCGGCAAGGTTTTTAATGAGGCAACACCCATATGCTACCTGAGAAAGACTCAACAAATATTCAAGGATTCTTTTGCAATCAACCTCGAATACTAGAGAGCATCCCCCCGGAAGGTCACCAACTCAGAGAAGCCAAGATACGCCAAGAAGAGTCTCCGTAGGAAAATAATATACCCGGCCAAACGGTCGAACAAACCGTGTCCGCATAGAACAACCAAGCCCGTAACAACAAAAACATGTATACTTGTACCATGTAATCAAAGAATACTTCCCAAAAGCATTTTGCATCTCAAGGAAGCTCGATATTTTTGCAAGAAATGGCCCCAAATCCAAAAAATGTCCCAAACACTCGAGGACTGGTGCCAACAACATAAAACAATGCGACCCCCGGGTCGGAGCTCCTAAATTGTAAGCCCTCAATAAGGCAACAACGCGATCACAAAACAACTCCAGATCCAAAAACATCACGGACACTCGGGAACTGGCGTCGAAAACTCAAGGCTACACGACCTCCGGGTCGGAAACTCCGAAATTGTAAGCCCTTGATAAGGCAATACCAAGTTCACAAGTAATGGCTCCCGAGCCAAGAAACCCTCGATGACTCGGGGACTACCATCAACTGCCATCTCCATCTACTTACAAAAAACCGAGGCCATAAGACCACATGCCAGCAGCCTCAGTCTCGTAAGACCTATATAAGGCAACAACAATATCTGTATGACCTCAAGAAAGGCGTGAACCATACTTCTACAAATTATCCAAAACTGTAAGACCTCAAAGGCATGTAAAACTTGTAAGACCTTACTAAAGGCATAAACCCGATCTCAAAGTTTCGACTATATATCGAACTTGTAAGACCCCTAAAAAGGCATACCCTCGATATAGACACCGAAACTACTTCACTCGGGGCTTAAAGGCTTCGGCCAAACACAAATGACTCCAGTCACAAGGCTATACCAGCCAAACTAACGCGATTCGAGGACGCTCGACCGTTTCTATAAATCATAGGCCTTCAATTACTTTGAATATACTTCGGAAAGAACCGGTTAAACAGGCTACCCTTGACATAGGCAAATGAGCTTCGACCATGTCAGCTCCTAAACAACTGGCTTCGAGATACTCAGCCTCTGAGGCAAACCTCCCGAGGTGCTCTATCATCTCCATATAACGACTCACAATCGTGGTTTTTTATTAATCCGTCGAAGAGTCAGGCAAACATTATTTCAAAACGTCCTTAACGAGGGAAAATTAAAACCTATATTAAAGGTCTCATCGACCCAAGGCGTAAGAGCCATTGTTGCCAGCCCACATAAAAGGTCGCATCGACCTAAGGCATAAGATCCATTGCTGCCAGCCCACACAAAAAGTCACTCCGACCCAATGTGTAAGAGCCTAGGGTCTAGCTTGCAATTCAAAAACTTGCGGGTCGAATGAGCTCAAGTCGTAACCCAATTCGGAGACTTAAACCAAAACAGTTAACTACGTATGCCCGAGAGCAAACGCGTAAGAGCCACTGTCACCAAC